ATGGAGCCCGGAACCAAGAACAGCACCCAGCCGTCCGGAGAATCGGGATGAGCTCCTCTTCGAAGAGGCGACGCACTTCAAGCCTGCAGGGTGTGTCGTAGGCATCTGACATCAGGCATTCATGGGGATCCTTCTTAGCAGGAACTCGTGATGTCGGGCATGTCCGTGTAATTCCAGACTCCGCAGCATTTCAGGGTGCTCTGCATCTCGTTCCAGGCTTGAATATCCGCCAGGTTGTTCGACTGGAGTGTTTCCTACATGTTTTTGTCCGGAGGTTTCTCTTCTTGTATCAAGCTCTGTTTCATCGTAAAGGCCATGGTCCCCGAAGAGCGTGAGGAGAAGCGAGCAGTGGGCGCCTCCTCGCTAAATCTCTGGTTCGGCCGCCGCCACGGTTACGGCATTTTCCACGGTGTTCAGAGTTCGGTTGCATGTAGTTTGTTATTTCTTCGTTGTTTCTCCAGGAATGTTGGCCAGAAAGTTACCAAATCCCTCATGGGTTGGCGCTTTTTTCTTTTAAGGCAGTTCCACTTCAAAACGAGAACAATGGTTGGATGTCTCAGCTAAGGGAAATTCCTGTTTGCATTAGTCATGGACATGCCGAGTAAGATAACGTTCTGAGAGAATGAATGGGAATATACATTTTTCGGTGAGGAATAGGCACAAAATACGGCTTCTCTGCAGTCCTTACCCTCCAACTTTTTGTCTCCTTGTCCTTGAGCACCAGATTCCATGCGATTCTCTTTCAATTTTCAGTTCAATTCAATTTTCGAAAAGAAAGTGAGGGAATTGAGTTGGCATTCTCTACGTATGTCAATAACGAATATTTGTCGACCGGGAAATCTGTCTTGGGAACAATTTAACATTGAATGAACTTCTGACATGAGCGAGAAGGTGAATATATATTTTTCAATTAGACAGTAAAACTCCAAACACTCATTCAAATATTGACAAGGAATCGTTTCAAGGATCATGACTAATCGACTGATCTCCCCGCACAACCGGATAAACAGCAACTCAAAAACACATGAGTCACAGCGGGAACAAGATACAGCAACCCAACTGTCTTGAGAAGCGGGTTGAGTTCCTCTTGGAGCAGGCGACGCACTTCAGGCTCGCAGGGTGTGTCGTAGATTTCCGTATCCGGGCATGGAGGTGGGGATCCTTTGCAGCAGGAACTCGGGATGACGGGCCAGTCAGAGTAATTCCCGACTCCGCAGCATTTCAGGGCGCTCTGCATAGCGTCCCAAGCTTGAGTATCCGAAGTGCCGTTCGAATGGAGGGTTTCATGCATGGTCCGGTTCAGAGATTTCTCTTCTTGCATCAGGGTCTTCCTCATCTTAAAGGCAATGCTCCCCGACGTTAATTCCAGGACCACAATCGGAAAGGAGACCAAATTGATGAGACATATGAACGCCGTCGCTCCGGTTTCTGCTTTCTTGAACAGGAAAAGGCAGGCGATGATGGGCAGCAGAGACAAGACGGCAATGGCAATGGCCAGGTTGTAGATGTAAATAGTGTCTTGCCGGGGCAGGAAATACTCATAGGGTTCGGCTCTGAGGTTCGTTCGAATCCCGTACACAAGTTGGGATATTGTAATCCCTAACCAGAGAGCCAGAGGCGGAATCGGCACCAAGAGCAAAAGCCACTCCATCCTCATTTTCCCGAACTACTAACGCATTTCATAAGACTGGCAGGCTTGTCTGCTTCGATAAGATATGACGTCATCTCTTGTCCTTTTTTTTCGCTGATAACGAGTACAAAGCTCATTGTGCTACACTACCGAATTTCATTAAAGAACGAGTCAGTGCAGGATTTTATCACGTTTTGCGACTAATTCTTTGCCATCTCTTATCTGCACTATTAGGCTGTTTCCTGTCAACCTGATCCGGACTGCTTCTTTCGCCTAATATTTCACCCTTTCTAAACATGGGAATTTTTCCATCTTTACACCATGTCACGCCCAGTCTCCTCCACGTGCATAAGTATAACATCTCGATTCTCACTCAACAGGACATTATCTTTCAATTTTCCGGTCGGCTACATATAGCGAGCTCTTTTTGAGGAAATCACCCTTACGGGAACTCCATATTCAGATTTCATGCGCGATATCAAATACGGTCATACAGGGGACGAAACGAGCTTTACATGTACCATGTTTATTTTTAATATATACCCTCTGACATAAACCTTCGGCAGGTCAAGTATATTACAAAACCGGTATCTTAATGAATATGGAGCTATACATGGTTCATATATAAGCCCCAAATATGGTGCTTAGTTGCAATGTATATAGCACATATAATAATTTGGTACGTTTTGGCTATATTTAATATATTGGATAAATGTAACAATATATTATCATATACAGGTCCCTCATGCGGTTCTTAATTTGCAATTTGCAGTAGATGGCCTCCGCATGTATTATTGGTGGCAGATTGAGGCAGAGGTTCAGATGCAGAGTCACTCAACAACGAAACTGGAACAAGTGTTTTTGTGACTCACTTCACAAGGGGAACCTCACTCCCTCTATGCATTGGGCAAGAATTACCTGGAGCCTCCTTAAGCTAGGTTACGTGTCTCAATATATGCATAGATTAAAACGACTTCATTCCTTCGGTTTGTACGTGGGAAATTATCGAGTTGAGGGTGAAAGCTTCTGCAGAACCATTCATTAGCATTTGGGGAATCGGGAGACATATAGCGGCGGGATTAGCGCGACCTCGCTTATATTGTGAGAACTTTATATTCATTGAACAAACTGCTAGATGCCAGGTCATACGTGGAAGGCCTCAACGTGCATGCGTGTGCATCCGTGGATATTACATGGACTGAACCGTTTCCAAATATATTCTAAATAGGGTATTTTTTCCGTATAGCTTATATTAATGTCATATACAGTGCAAACCTAGCACTATATATGGGGGTCTGAACATGAACCATATATGATTCCATATTTATTAAGAATGGCCAAAACATTATACGGACTGAACTGTTTCCAAACATGGCTAAATTCAGTACTGTACAATCCTATACATACGCCTGTATTTGGAAGTTCCGTAAGGGCAATAATTCATGGTGGACAAAATAGATTACTTTTGAGGTGACCTTCGTATTTTGAGATTTCGCTCAAGTTGTGCGACATAAGGCATCATTCAGAAGAGGGTAGAATATGTGATTTCAATCGAAAATCATTATATTTCTGAGAGCAGGCCCCCTGTCTTTAAGAAGGGAAATTACTGTGCAGGAATCTTTCTCTTCTCAAAAAGTGGGATGCAAAACAACCCGGATGGGGGAGGTCGAACCCGAGAAGTGTATCATCACTTAGACCAAATTGTATCTTCCTAGGTTAGGGGTTAATATTGATTCTGGGACATCATTTGTAAATTGCAAGGGAAGGCTGCAGGGTCAGAGGAGGGCGAAGAGCTATGTGTGGGGTGAGAGCTCCCCCACCCCCCCAACCCATCCATCCCGAAATCACGTACCAATTGGATCTCGGATGGAGGGGGAAGGATAGCTGAAACTCTTGAGTGAATGTGCATTCAGGGACCTTGAGCCACTTCTGTGTATCTCATATTGAAGGGAGGATCAGCGAAGATTCCTTTTCTTTCGGGCATTGGCGTAGCGAGGGGAGGGGGCTGGGAGGGGTTCAGCTCCCCCAAGTTTGGTTCAAGCCCCCTCGACTCCGATCTAATTGCATCCGTCGCCCCCCCCCCCTCCCCCCCCCCACACAACTGCCATCGGGCCACTTAGCATACGCACTCTCACGCTCGTAAGCCATCAACTGAAGAGTCGGTAGGGGGTAAGCGAGTTGAGGAAGTTTCCCATTCAAGCAAAACCTGAAATATATATTATTTAATTTGAGGGGGCTTGACAATTGGTTGTGCTCACGCTGAAAAAGTTGTCCTCTTAAGGCGTTTTGTAGCTGAACCTAGAACTCGGTTGTGAACTGCAACAATTCAGCGGCACAAAGTCCCAGACCATAGGCATGTAGGTTTGATTCTTTGCCCTAACGGCCATACTGATTGCCTAGCAGATCTGTCTAAAATGACAGCTCCTTATATAGGCGGCCTCGCAATGTCCCAAAATTGCTTTCAATGAATCTGTGGCCTTAAAGAATACTATCGGTACTTTAGGCTTCATTGTTTGGTACATGCAGCGTTGTTAATGTCGCACCATCACAATGGTCGCAATCAGAAAGCTCCTATCTGTATTTCAAATTTCCATAGCCATCTATCAGGACAAAGCCTACAGTGACATGAAATCCATTCGAGATATTTTCAGTATCTAATTATTTTCTGCCAATTTTTCTACGTTGTTTTGCTTGAAAGCATATCACTCATTATGCAAATGCATCAACAATCACTATTTCTTCCCCATGTCAGATGAAATCACACCACTAATTGGTTTCCATGGTTACATTTACCACAGGAAAATGTCTGGGTAGATACCCTGCTTCATGAGAAGTGTCTCATTGAATGATTTCACGAACAAAATATGCTTTAAATAATATAAGAATGTTTCCAGTCCCCAATTCATCTCATGCCCATTTGGGCATATGAGATGAGCAAAACGGTTAAATCCAGAAGCAGCTTTGGTCCTCTCTCTCTCTCTTAGAGAAGAAAATTGTTTTCAGCACTCCTTTGTGTGTTTCCTCAGTGAGGGAAATAAAACTTGAGACTGCAGTTATTTTTTTTCCTTCTGTCCCTATAATTACGTTCCATTGCATTACAGAACCTAGAACTCCCTTTGTGTCATTATAGTGAGACATAGCCCAATGCTTCAAATTCCTTTGAGGTCTGTGGGAATTCCATGTTTGTTTACTATCTACAAGCATGCCGATTCTGCAAAGGAAGCAGGTTAAGCAACCAAGAACATCTTTTGGCCAGTGGCACAAAATCTCAGGTGGCGCACAGAGCCTATTCCCCACCCCTCAAACCTATCACAGCAGATGACAACAACTACTTGAAAAAAACTTCAAATTGATTTCAAATCTTCATTTCCTTCAAGATGTGCACTTCAGCTGAGAACAGCATAACACAGTTGCTTCTGGCTACTCAAACAGAATACACTGGATAACCAAAAAGCAGTCTGACATGGCTGCAAAGGCTTTTGCAGACAGATTAAGTTTGGTCCACTGGAAGAACAACTAAGAAGCTCTAAAATAATGGGAACAGTTTCTCAGGTAGACAAGCATTACAATATCCTTCAATCAAATATTAAAGGGCAAAACAAATGGGGATAATTCACAAAGTAACAAATTTCTTCACTTCTCTACCATGCAAATAAAATCACAGAGAAAAAATGGCAAAAGGGAGGAATATGAGCTGCCATGCAGAATTCATAAGACAGGAAGAACAGAACCTTCAGGAATTTGAGATTTCCTTTATCATCATTGCAAACTTTTTTTTAGTCAATATAGCTGTCAACATAGAAAACACAAAACTGAACAAACCAGTTGAGCTGCATCTACCTGTACCTGAATACCCTTTTCCTCCAGTAGAACTAATTGAAAGAAATGATTTGTCAACAGTTGCCAAGTCATGCACCTTCAACCATAGGATAAAATGTATGGACAACCATAAATATGTAAAGAGACAAACAGATCCAAGTACAGCATATATAGCTGATTAAAAAAAGAAACACAAAATATGTAAAATGAAAAAATTCAAAGAATAAAGAGAGTAACTTGGGGTGGGGGGACGGGGTCACGGGAAAAATTGCATAGAAAGGTTCAAGAAGATAACTTCTTATCACAATGAGAGGGTTGTATGGATTTCAGGCTGAAAGAATCATCAGTCTCCACGGTTGTAAACACTCCGAACAGGGTTTGTTCTGCCCCCACGACCAGATAGAGGTCTTCTCCCACTGCCACCTCCTCCTCCGCCACCTCGATCTCTGAATGAACAAAATGTACTTGAGATCAATATTTGATGCATTGTGAAAAAAATCATACAAGAAATTAGGATGCCTTAAATTGAGATATTTACTCCATAAAATTTTGCAACAATTCATACACCATTAGAAAGAGTTTTCTGGTACCTTAACCCTTTCAGGGCAGAATCTTGAAATTAATGAATGAAAAATATGAAACTGATGTTAAGAGGTCATCTAATATCAAACAAGAATTATAAATTTTTTCTGATTCCAGAACTTACTTCCTTTTAATTGACAGGATGCCAATTGGAAACATTTATCTTTAGAGATAAACATCTTTCAAGTAAGAGAACACAAAAAAGCAAAAAGCAAAAAAAGAACTATTTCTCATGGAATACACTAAAGCGATTTCTCTTAATGACCAGAGAGAGTGCAACATTATACTCTTCAATTAGTCTAGCTTGCCAAAAACAAAGCTAAAGCAATCAACAAGCAAAAAACTCAAAAGTTAGAATATTTCAAACCACTCTCTCACCTACTACAGCTTGTGATGAAAACTAATCTATTGCTTCTTTGTAAACAAAAGTTCTGCAACTTCTAATAATTAACAGGTAAATCACTTTGGGATACATAGATGACTCCTGAGTGGCCTTTGAAAATGATACCAATTGGCATCAATCACAGCAAAAGGGTTAGTGTGATCAATAAAATACAGAGCACTTCCTATGCTATTTCTAGAGAGGTTACAATCAAATGTAATGCTGGTCACTGGTTAAATCTGGAGCCACTGGTAATTTAAATTTTGCTGTGTTAAAATATATTGAAAACTTGAAACGTGATCATATGCTCCTGAAAGAGGTCAACTTCACACAATAGAAAAGTGCCACATTGACTTTATGTCATGTCGAATTTCAAAGAAACATGCTGAGAAGAGGTACCATGACTAAATGTCTCTTTACAGAAATGTCTGTCACTGATGCCAATTTGACCAATGCCATCTTTAAAATTTTACTTAAAGAACTGTGCAAAGAGAGTATAATTAATATGATTATCACCTAAAAGAGCATAATTAGAGGCTCTGGTAGATGCCCATGGGCATATCTGGGATTCATATATGTGTAAATATAGCATTTGGCACTATGTAATGACTCCCCCCTGATTCATCCATGGAATTAGAGCAATAGTAGTCATATTTTAAATTTTTAGAATACACTTATTGTATTAAACACAATTTCCTCTTCCACATCTCCTCACTTTCACTTCCATCCCATCCCACAGTCTCATAGCCAATTGATCAATTTGATACATCCAAATGATCACCCTTTCAAATCTAACCCATTCTCCTTTAAAAAATGTTATGCAATACTTTTGTACTGTGGAAGTGCACTTGTCAGGTTGCATCCTTTCTCCCTGCAGCCAATGCAAGAAAACTTTCAATCCTTGAAAAAACCTGCATTTTCAGTTTTAAGACAAGAAATGGGATGATTAACACATTACTTCCTGCCTCTGGGACAGGAGGACTGAAATCCCCTGCCCCCATTTCCATGTAACTGAGTGATGGTCAGAAATCCTACATGTATCCCTGTCCTGCCCACCTGTTTCCTAAACTGGCAGATTAGGCCTTCTCGACTCTGACTGGGTACCTGAAGGTAGCTGCTTACTCTTCAGTGACAAAAGCACATTCAAAGGCTGATACATTATGAGAAAGGAAATGATGATGGGATAGAGTAGTTCAGGATTCCTGGAAAGGAATACAAAAGGAAGTTGGAAAGACACACTCACAAACCAGTGATTGCCTACCCTCCTCAGGGCAACTAGAATCTTTAGAAGGATATCCTGTCATTCCACAGATGGAAGGTAAGAGCATCCAATTCAAGAGGCCAAATTGTCCTTTTAACCCCTTAAGTGGGTTAGATGTATAAATCAGCCATGGTAAAACACTCCCTGGATGGGTTGCACATTTGCATACATCCTGCAATTTTTTTTTAGTTTGAGTTAAATATTAACTTTTACCTCAAAATAGAATTACGGTAACTCAAGAAAGTAGTAAATTTCAGCACACAAACACTAATTATTTCACTCACAAAAAAGTTTCTACTCTGGAGGTAAGACTTCTGTACAAAAGACACTACTTACCTATAGACCATCTCCATATCCTCCAGTCTCTGGGACAGGGCCAGCTTCTGCTGAATGGCCATGCGAAGAAGGGAGTTCAAAGTCTTTTTCTCCTCTTCAGCAGCCATCAATTGCCTCTCAGCCTCCTCCAGCTGAGACACATACTCCTCACATCGTGCAGCAAACATTGCCCGTAGACCTAGATAGTATCAAAGACAGAATTTTTAATGCAACAAGTCAGAATAACACTGAACATTAGTCTGTTTATGGGAATTAACAAACTTGAGAAGGTAGCAGCGTCTTCTTTGAGGAGGCGAAGTTCATTGCGCAGTTTCATCATGGTCTCTGAGACAATGGTCTTCTCCTTCTCATACTTGGACTTGAGGTTTGTCAGTGCAACCTCGGCTGTCTGCTTATTGGCCTTGAGGACAGTGCGAAGGGTGGCGATCTGCTCCCGCTTGGATGAAAGAAGGGACTTGAGCTTCACTATCTGCTCCTGGAGTTCCTGAACATCTGCCTCCTGGATACTTCTTTGACCTGAATCTTTGTGGCCTTTAAGAAATACATTCAATAAAATTGCTGACAATTTCAAGATACTGTAACTCCAGCAGGTGATGAATAAACTCACCATCTTCATTGACAGAAGCCCTGATTGCTTGCTCAATGGAGACCCTCAAATGCTGAACTTGATCCCCCATTGTTTCCACCTGCTTTCGAATGAAGTCAGGATCTCCACCCTCAAGACTCAGGTTAACATCTGAGGATTTCAGGCGATTAGCCAGTTCCTCTAACCGACTAATCCCACCTGAGAAAAAATATGAGACACTCAACGATAATTCTGTTTAATTTACCTGCACATGATTGAGCATCCTGAAGCCTCACCTTTGCTGTCAGGGCCAGAGGTATGATTGAGAATGACACGACTGGGATTTTCCCGAATTGTAGAGCAGACGTGATAGTATATCCCTGCCAAATCTTCCGAGACAGATCCCAGTTCTGTCTGGAGGTTGCTTAAATTTCCCTGAGCAAGACGGACCATGTCAACAAGGATGTGAACATCTCCACGTAGTTCTTCTTTAACAGATTGTGACTCTATCAATTTCTCTCTCAGTGAAGAGATTTCTTCTCGTAGGCAGAGTTCCAGTGTTTCAGCTCCTCCACCTCGGCTTGCATCTTTTAGTTCCTCCTCCAGCTCAGCTAGGCTTGCTGCTAAGGCTCCATTGCTCTATGCAAGGAAGGTTATCTACATGTCAACACAGCTATAAAATGATGATTACACACTTATTTGCTGCACTCACTTGTTTGCTGTGAAGAATGGCCTTAAGGTGAGCTTCAGTCTTGAGCAGCAGGGCCTGTTTTTCATTGAGATCTTTCTTGCTTGCTTCCAGCTTCTCTTGAGTCTCAGCAAGGGTACGACTGAGTATTAGTCTCTCACTCTCCACCTAATGCATGTCAAAATCATTCCATCATCAACTTCATGTGACATGTTCTCTGGCTCTCAGCAGGACAATTAAAGAACAGCAGAATGAAGACAGACCTGCTCAATTCTCTGCTCCAGTTTCTGGAGTTCATTAAGATGGATTTCTGAGAAAAGGTCACTTCCACCCTCAGCAGTCTTCCCTTCTTTGATGAAGTCATCTTCCAGCTGCTGAAGAGCTGGACATTCATCTTCATTTTCACTCTCACCTAATGGGGACAGAACAAAAATATATATTATTGTAGGATGCTTCTTCTTCAAGCATCTAAGTTTACCCTGTTTCTGACCAGCCTTTTATGCCACTTCCATTTTGTAGAATTGCTGAAGCTTGATTTTCTAACAGACAGAATTATCTAAATTACACTGAATTGAACTGAGAGGGATAACCCTTTTATTTTAATAAGCTCCCTAAATTCAGCTCTTTACCTTGGCTTAAAGGAGATAATCTCAAAGATCTCGCATTCTTCTAAATGTCTATTGTTGAATATCACTCAACACTCAAGAGGGAATCTGAACTCACTCAGTTTGAGATTGAGAGCAAGAGTACTAAGATTGTAGAAGGAGGAACTGCCTAGTTTGGCATCAAGTTCTTTCTTCAATGCATACTTCGCCTCTCTTTCCACCTACAATGGAAGAATTAGTAGCCTCATTCTTACTTGTAAGGTAGACAATGCCTTAATTGCTACCATCACCAAAAATGAAGTGGTGAATATTGCTTTTCTGTCTTCACCTGAAGAGCTTCCAAGGCCTGCTCCATTTGCTTCTCAGCAATCTTCTTCAAACTAGTAAGTTCTTCAACCTGCTGCTGGGAAACATCTAACTCCTCCTGTAACCTTCTGAGCTCATGTTTTGCACCCTCAAACTCAACCTACAGAAACCAGCATACAAACAGCACAATGAAATCTGAGTCATTGAAAGCATGAGTCAAGCAATAAACTTTTCCACACCTGAGAAGACCGTAATGATGAAACAAGTTTTTGTAGGGCTATGTTCTCTTCCTCCAGATTATCTATGTCAGAGAGGAGATTTGTTTCCCTGGTCTTCAATTCTTTTAACTCGCTGCGAAGGTTTCTCCTCTCAATATTCTGTGAATCCTTCTCTTGCAGAAGTTCCTGATGATCATGTAGCAACCTATCTTTCTCACTGACAACTCTTTCCAGTTCTTGACGTGTCTATGAAAATATTAAAATAATGAAATCATTCCTAGAATTTAAAAAAACCCAGCTTCTTCAATAAGCTGAAATATTCAAACTTTCTTACCTGTTTTGTTTCAAATTCAAGGTCTGATATTCGTGTGTTGAGGGAAGACTCCCTCGCCGCATTTTCCGAGAGAAGGGACTCCTCATGTTCAATACCAGTCTTGGTGCTGACTTCATGGCAAGTTTGAAACTTTGCTAGAGCCTAGAAGGGAAAGGTTAATTAGAAAGAAATTGCATGCTATAACAATAGCTATCATATAAGCCCATTACACAAGCAATACCACTTACTTCTCTCGTCAAGTCAAGTTCATGCTTGGTAGTCTCGAATAGTGTTTCCAGCTCCTCACACCGTGTCTGAAGCTGCAGTTTCTCTTCCAACAGAACCAAGCCATATTGTGCTGACTGAGCAGATTCATTTGCAGTTTGGTCCAATTCATTCCTCAGCCTTTCAACCTGTTGCCTTAATGATTCTATTGAGACCCCATCCTCATCCATCCTGGTCTGTGAAAAAAATAGAAAGGGAAATTATACTGATTGGTAATCTATAGCCTAGTCACGGTCTCATGAGGATGAGGAGGAATGGTGCAACTCTCTTAAATAAGGAATCATTTTTAAGAATGGCTACCTAAACATCAGGCTTAAGTAGCACCATTCTAACATGAAATGAGGATTGAAGAAATGAGGAAAGAATACTAACTTGCTATTTTGAGCAAATGTAGCTTTTTGTATATGGTGATCCATGACATAGACCCAACAGAGTACTCAGATCAATGAGTTGTGTTCATGTCAAGACTAAGGCAATATGGAATTGTGGAGTTCTCTGGGAACAGGACAAAAAATGCCCAAACACTACTGTTTGCTACCTATATTACACTATAGCAATCTAATGGTTGTTGAGATATATATGTAGCAAAGGAGAAGCAGTTCAGTTGGACTGGATTCCATTTAGTCACATTTAAACTTTGACAAGATTTTCCATTTTACCTTGAACTGTACCTTTCATGCAAAACCTCTTTTCCAGATAATTTCTCTATTTGAATCAAGACTTTGGTTGCTCAGTGTAATGAATATAATTGCTTTTTAAAGCATTCATCTCCAATATATATATATATATATATTTCAAATTAAAGTTGCAGTTATGGGCCAACTGTAGGCCTAACTAGTTTTACTTCTGCATGGTAAGGAACACAATCCTCCATTCTTGGTTATTTCTGTCCTCCCGACCCACTGATAGGTCTGTCGGCCATTGCTTTCTGCATGATTCAGGATGAGTAATTAAGAGTAGAATTCATACATTGCATAGACCTAGCGGCTTTGTTGCCATTACAGCTCTACCAGTTCATCCTAGAGCATCAGAGCTAAAACTTGGCTGGGTAGGCTAAGTCAATTTCTTTTTGGGCGACTCAGACAGATTAAGCTAAACGTCATAGTTTAGCGAAATCGTACTCTAAGTTGAAAGGTTTTGTCCCTTGCCTGGCAATGGTAAAGTGCGCAATCCCCCCACAAAAGCGGGGTATGCAACTAACCTTCACCCCTTGCCTGTTGGAGGCTTAGGGTCCAGACTCCTCGCCTTTAAGCCTAACAAAAGGCTTCGTTCGAAAGAAAACCAGAAGAATAGGTCTGCCTTCACGAACAAACAAAACCAGCAGGAAGGACGGGAGAAAGAAAGCTCGGAACAGGTGGAAGAAGGCCAAGGCTTGTGAAGAGCCTCGCCTTAGGATCACTGCCGGGGAATGCGCTCCATTAGCGCCATCATTTTTACGGCACTCACCAGACCTAAATTTTCCTTCGCTCTCGTAGATGGCGATGGCTGTGCACGATTCCATCGTTCGCTGGCACTCTTCAATGGATCTTTCCAAAGGGTGACTTAGTTGTGATCGCTTCTCCTTCCTCGGACATGTTGCGTTTAAACGTGTTACGTCCCTCCTTGCAAGGGATTTTCATTGTTGCTCGAATCATTTACCCTGTTATATGGACATTTCCTTGAAAGTAGACTGTCCCTTTAAAAAACACTCGTTTCAGCGTAAGATAACGCATTCATGTAACCACTTCAGAGATATGCAGCCACTCAGGAAGAAAGTATCACGCTGAGGTTACCACATCTCCATATTTTCTGCTTTGAAAAATGTCCCCTGATGTTTTGAAGGGCCTCAGGGAGGATGTGGGTAGGGCAGGGTCAGACTGGCGACCTAGGGGCCCCCGGGAAATTACTGACAAAGGACCCCCCCACCCCCCCCCCCCCCCTCCCCCCAATGCAGACCAAGGGGAAAATTCATTGGGGAATTCCTTGGTATCCCTGTGGGCCAGTCTGATACTGGAATAGGAGGTACAAAGATCTCATTATCATATTTTAAGAGCGACATGCACCAAATCCGTTTAAGCTAAACTAATCTGATTTCACAATGGTTCCCTATGGGAATTAGTTTAACAGAGATAAACTTATTCCCATAGATGCCCATTATGAAAAAGAATCAGTTTAAAGTTAAACGGATCTGGTGCATGTCACCCTAAAGGACACGGTTTTCTGAAGAGTTTTCTCTTCGTATCGCTGAAACCTGGGCTCGACAAAAGAGAAATCCTCCGAAGCCTCTGCTATAATACCAAAATATATCTATAAAATCTAAAATATATAAAATAATAATACTATTATACCAAAAAATCACTATGAACCCTGAAACGAACGAACCTTGCAATTAGGGTCGTCCCGAACAGGAAAAAAATTACTCTTATTGTGCCGCGCTGTACCAAACAGGAACGAGCACTAAAGGTACTCAGACTAACAGCCCTGCCCCACTACAATTACGATGCAATGATAAAAGAAAACCGGGGAGGAGTGCAGAAAGGAGCAGAAAGAGTATGTCCCAGCAGAAGTACTCGAAAGCTCTTTACGGAGATATAGATGCAGATGTAGGCAAGGAATCTCCATCTATTTTTTCCTCTGTCTACATTCGTTCTTTCGTCTCTTGCTTCAATGTCCCTCTATCGAGGCTACCCCTGCGTCAGACGCTGCATCCCTTCTTTTAAAAAAAAGTCACACACCCTTTCCACACGTGTGGAACGCATGTGGTCCGCCCGTGTGGATTCAGGAGTCAGGAGTCAGGAGAGTTAGTGATATCAAGAGGCGATTTCACCCATTTCGATATCACGTGTCGAGGTCGAGCGTTCCTTAATTTTAGGGTAGGCCTAACCCTCTTAAAGCTATATATTTTTGTATTTTTTTTTTTTTTTTT